AACCTAGACAGCTGACAGGAGAGCCTGAAAAATGCAACCTACAGGGGTCAGTTACCTGCAGTAGTAGAGTGGGAGAAGGTAAGGAATGGGTCCTGTTATGGACAAACAGGCCTAGGGCTGGTATAAGACACACCCCATATCTATCCATTCATTGACTATCTGCCATGTGTCAGGCAGGCACTGTGCTAGACAGCGGATTATACTAAATGCCACTTTTCTTATTCATCGGGGGAAAAGTTTCAGTAGAAGCAACTAGAGGGAGCAGGTGGGTGGTCTAAGCAATCCTTTTGGGTGGGTGGGAGAGTGGAGTGTGACATGGGGGAGGTGTTTGAAGTTAACCTTTATTGAATTCATGGTAGGTACCAGAAACTTTACATACATTATCTTGTTCAATCATTTATGCCTCAAAATAGCCATATAGGTTATTAAAAGGATACCAGAATGATATGGTATTATGAGTCTTCCCATTTCACAGATGAAGGCACTGAGACTCAGAAAGATTAAGCAAATTTCCAAAGTTATGCATCATGTGAGTGGCAGAGAGGACTTCTCGATTATGATTTTCTGACCCTGAAACCCTACTCCGTCCACATAACTTGCTGCCCCAGAGCCTCAGGCATCTCACAGACACTAACTACAGCTGGAGTCTGTGCAAACAGTTGGTCCCCAGTTCCTGCAGGATTCTAGCCCCAAAGAGGACTCCCTGGGGGACAGCCCATCCAGCAGGCTGGAATTCAGACAAAGCCTGGCACCTGACTCTCAGCCCAGGGCATCAAGCCTCTGTTACCAGCAGTTCCAGAAGCTGTAGGCCTTAAAAAAGTGAAAATGCACATTGTGTTTTCACTCAATGGTCTCATTATGACTTATTGATTCAGAAATCTCCTTTATTTGTTGAGTTATGCCTCCCTGGGGCCCATAGCACTGGAAACAGAGATTCTGGTTTAAAATGTTGAAAGGGAATTTTTAAAATATAAAATGAAGTTGAAAAACTGGAAAGCAAAAATGATGAAAAACAAAACAAAAAGAAACAAACTTATTTATTCTAGTTAAGTGTTCTCACGGATGAAAGCAATCTCTAGCCACCAGATGATGGTGTTTGACAACATCTCTCCTTCATTTATTAAGAACTTGTTTACTGCATACCTACTCTGTGCCAGGCTAGTTGAAGGGATTAAGAAAGTGCTATCAAATGTGATATTCATGTTAAGGAGTTTGTCAATTTAGTGGAGACAGACTATACGCAGAAGCAAAAATTCCAAATCTAGAAGATGAGGAATAGAGGGCTTTGTGTAGTGACGTGAATGAGGAATTAAAAATGAGTAAGCTTTGGCCAGTGCACAATGAGGAAGTCTTTCCATCAGAGGGAACTGCTAGAGTGAAGGCAGATATCCTGAAAAAAGCAAGCACAGTTGGGGAGCTGCAAGGGTCTCCTATCCTGGGAAAACAGAGTGTGAGGGGAACAGCGATGGGAGGGGAGACAGAGGAGGCAGCAGCGGGTGTTTCATTCAGAAGGCTCTCCATGCCCTGTGAAGCCACGGAGACCCAAGGAATCATGCTGGGCTCTGCAGGGCAGCCTAATACAGTGTTTCTTTTCTGGGACAGTGGAAAGGTGCTTTATTATGATGTTACCAAAATTCATGCCTACACAGCTAACTTATGTCAAGTGAGATTAACTTTTAATATATGATGTGAGATATGGAGCTGTGATCAGATTTGGCTTCAAATGTTAGCTCCATCACCTAGCAAATCAATTGATTGCTCTTAGCTTTGGTTTCCTTAACAAAATGGAGCCAATACTACATGGCACGAGAGGATTAAATGAGAAAACATAGGTGTGAAAAGTGCTAGGACGTGAAGAAATGAGAGGACAAGCCACAGACTGGGAGGAAATATTTGCCAAACACATATCTCAGAAAGGACTTTTATCAAAAATACACAAGGAACTCTTAAAACTCAGTGAGAAAACAAATGACCTGTTTAAAAAATGGGGGAAAGATCTGAACAGATGCCTAATCAAGGAAGATGTACAGATGGCAAATAAGCTTACGAAAAGATGTTTAACATCATGTGTCATTAAGAAATTGCAAATTAAAACAACAGGATACCACTACATACATATTAGGATGGCCAAAATCCAAAACACTGACACCACCAAAGGCTGGGGAGGATGTGGCACAGCAAAGCCTGTCATTCACTGCTGGTAGGAATGCAAAATGGTACAGCTTCTTTGGAAGACAGTTTGACAGTTTCTTACGAAACTAAACATACTCTTACCATACTAGGATCCAGCAATTGCACTTCTTGGTATTCACCCAAATGGGGTGAAAACTTATGTCCACAGGAAAACCTGCACATGTATGTTTATAGCAGCTTTGCTTAAAATTGCAAAAACTTGGAGGCAACCAATATGTCCTTCAATAGGTGAATGGATAAACAAATTGTGGTGCAGATGGTCCCTCACTTAGGATGATTAGACTTAGGATTTTTTGACTTTATGATAGTTCCAAAGCAACATCCATTCAGTAGAAACCATAATTTGAGTACACATATAATTGTTCTGTTTTTAATTTTTGGTACAGTGTTCAATCAATTCCCTGACATATTCAATACTGTATTATAAAATGCACTTTGTATTTGATGATTTTGCCCAACTATAGGCTAATGTAAGTGTTCTGAGCATGTTTAATGTAGGCTAGGTTAAGCTATGATATTTGGCAGGTTAGGCATATTAAATGCATTTTTGACTTACGATATTTTAAACTTATGGGTTTATGGGGATATAACCTCACTGTAAGTCAAGGAGCATTCATCATATATCCATACAATGGCATATGGTTCAGTGAGAAGCAGAAATGAGTTATCAAGCCACAATAGACATGGAGGAAACTTAAATGCATACTGCTAAGTGAAAGAAGCCAATCTGAAAAGGCTCCATACTGTATGATTCTGACTATATGACATTCTGGAAGAAGATAAAACTCTAGACACAGGAAAAAGAGCAGTAGTTTCCAGGCGCGTGGGAGGAGGGAAGGATGAATAGGTGAAGCACAGAGGATGTTTAAGGCAGTGAAACTATTCTATACAATAGTGCAATAGTGGATATATGTCATTGTACATGTGTCAAATCCTATAGAACTGTACAACATAAAAAGCAAACCCGAATAAACTGTGGACTTTAGCTAATAATAACAAATCAATATTAATTAATTGTAATGAATGTACCACAATAATGCAAGATGTTAATAATAGGGGAAACAGTACGTGGGTGGGAGGGAGTACATGGGAATGATGTACTTTCTGCTCAACTTTTCTGTAAACCTAAAACTGCTCTAAAGAAAAATGCTAGGACAATGCCTGGTACACAGCAGGTGCTTAATAAATGATGGTTTGGGGGCTGAATATGAGGCAGGCAATGAGCTAATAGCAGACATACTTAGAAACTTGGGGCTTTCCATTTGCACTCTGTACCAAATACAGATTCATCTATCTGCAGAGGCAAAGAACTATTGTGTGTGTTCACTAAAGGGTGGAATTCAGCTGCAGGTCCACCAGAAAGGCATCACAAGGAGTGGCAGTGTCCTCATGGTTTATTTATTCCTTTTGGGAGATGCTAATATTATTCTGTGTCCCCTTCTTCTTCTAACTTTATATAATTAGAAGGATAAAAAATCGTGTTTACCCACACGCACATGGAGAAAGATGGGGCGGCAGGCGATGGGAAGGCGTTTATACGAGGTAATTTACAAGCAGCCCAGAATGTTCATTATGCTCTATCTACATTTTGCAAGCTTGAAAAACAGCTAATTTGGTACTCCTTGTTTGATATTCAAGACAAGGAGAGGAGTTAAGAGTCATGCAGAAGAGAAGTAAACTCCTCAATGAGGCAAGAGGAAGGTGCAGGTGCCTGCTCCCCTGGCTCTCAGCTGAGGTGAGAGATGGGCAAGAGCTGGCTGTGAGAAGGAGGGAACTGGTGGCAGAAGGCACAAGGGAGACATGGTACCAAGACACAGATTCAAAGAGCTCCATTTAACAGAAGTCTAGGGGAACATCATCACTCAGTCTGCAGTCAATCTGCTTTTTCTTGCTTAAGGTCAAAGACCAGTGGTATGTTGGTAAATGTTTAACAAACAGCTCCCTGTGGGAAAAAAGGCCCTGATCAGTAATATCTGCTGATTTCTGTGGTGTAAATACTCCCACCATGACCGATTTCAAGTTATCAACATAGCATCAACTAGCTCACAAAATTCCTGAAAATTTAACAATCTGCTCCTGCAAGCTGGTATGAGTCAGCTACAGAACACCACTGACAGAGGACAAAGCCTAGCACACCCCGCAATGTCTTGCATGATCTGATGGTTTGGAACCTACTTATCTCTCCAGCTTCACATACTGCTCTGATAACTGTGGTCTTCTTTCAGTTGCTCAAATGCACTATGTTCACTCTGACCACAGGGTCTTTGCATGTTCAAAGAACACCTCCATCCAAGCTGGCAGTTGTGCCTGGATCCTGGGCTCAAATTCTTCCTCTCCTCATAGCTGACCCCTCACCACACCTGTAGACCCAGCCTATCCCTTCCTAAAACTGGCAGCCAATTCTTGCCTTTAGCAGAAGGGAGGTTATGGATTGGGTGGGGTCTGAAGGCAGACATGAGGCTTGTCACACCCTAACCATATCACCTGGGGCAGGTTACCACTTCCCCTGAGCCTTT